CGCCTCCGGCCCCGCCTCGCCCCCGGGGGAACCGGTCACCCGTGCCCCGGGGTGGCAGAGCTGGCCGCTTTCCCAGGCACAGCCGGCGCTTGCAGCCCGGTGGGTGGCAATGCGGGGCTGCACTGCAGGTGCAAATCGCTCCCCCGAAGCAAAGCTCAGATCCCAAATCTCAGCAGAACTGGGAGTCGTGACTGCCGAGCCTCTCTCCCCCTTTCACTGCATAAAAGCATTTTATTTTCCCCCTCAAGTAAGAAATACGAACCATCTGGTTGCAGACCCAGGACACAACTCCTGCCCTAATCTCACAGCCTTAAGCAGCAGCACTAACTGCCTGACCTTAGGCAAACTGCCCTTTCTTCTATACACAGAGGATCTCTTTCTCTTGCAACAAGGTCTTACAAGTTTTCCGTAAAGCATTACATTTCTACTTTTATAAACAAGGCAGGGTGAAGAGAGTAATGCTCCTTTTGCATAGTTTTAAACCCTTGTATGTAAGCTTTAATACAGTTCTCTCAAAATTATGCCCGACTCCCATAGAGCTTGTAACAGGCTGTCACAATTCTGCAAGGCAGCAGTGTGGAAACTGGGCTGTCTAGGTTTTATCAGCAGCTTGGCCACTGGATTTCCAGTTTTGCTCAAGTTACTTTGTTTACCACAAAAGCACTTTGCAAAGGTTTAGCAGACTCTACAAGTCAGGAAATCCTTACATGAAAGCCTCTCTATAAAAGGCCAAAATATGAAGAACATTTTCTCTCCAGTCTCTTAACCCAGTCGGCTTTGTTTAAAAAAAAAAAAAAAGTAAAAAAAAGGTGGAGATAATCCTGTCCCTTCCCAAGCAAGTACATGAAGTGTCATCCATCAAGGCAGCTGCTGAGAGAAAGCGTGCTGTCAGCACAGAAGGAGGGAGGACAGCTTCCTTCACAGGAGGCTTTTATTAAAACTGGGTGACGTCTACAAGGATACAGTACAAAAAAAAATTTTGGTCCATGGAAAAAACCATAATATTCAGTTAAGAAAAGCAGTTATTCTGCAACAGCTATGTTTGCCTACGCAGTACTCGGCATCCTTCATGTGTGATTACCCTGAGGAGTCAGTGGGCTGCTTCATCAGCACAAAGACCTTCACCCCAGTACCACAGAAGAGCCATTTCATAAGGGGGCAAAGGAGAAGGGAAGTCGAGAGTCTATTACTCACAGACATGTAGTAACACAGACACAAGGAGTAGGGCCACCCAGGCTCCCAAATTCATAGCAACCTTCCCAACCACACCAAAGCTGGGTGTGGGGATGAGGGGGTTTGTCAGTAACGTGATTCTGCAGCTATTCCAAGAGAATACAACCAACTTTCAAGTCCATTTGCATTACAGTCCCGAGCAGAAATACTGAGATCCGGGTGAAGAGAAGCCATTCTCTTACGCCTGACCACTAGTTCACTAGTAATTCATTCCATGAAGAGGCATCTGGGCTCCTACTCCCCACAGTAGAGAAAATCTACTTGTACATTCCTGAACCATGCTGGGCTTTATGGCAGCCCTAGAATCTAAAACTTGACTAAAAACCACAGGAGCTTCAGCATGGAAACACCTGCTAACTCGCATATGCTTGGAGCTACGTCCATTCCCAAGGACTGTCCTGTTATGGCCTCAGATCCACACGAAGGAGCCTCTGGTCCCCACGGCAAGTGACACAGGATAACTGTCCCAAAGGAATGAGCCTACAACACCGCGCCCCTGCACAATTCCACCAGGCAGTTGCTGCATCCCCTCTCCCTGCTACAGGGAAAACAAGCAGCCAGATGGCTTGCTGGAACCGCAAGTGTAGGTCTTTTGAAGCACAGAGATGTCTCGCCACTCCAATGCTCCCACATCCCTGCAGTAAGCCAATGCCTCATCTCCCCTGTGATCCTGGCCTGGGACAGTCTGTCAAAGTCTGTCAATACGAAGGGAACAGGGCAGGGAAAAAGGGAAAGGGAAGAAGCAATTCTCTACACAGTCCAGTAACTTCCTCAAGGAGGAGAGTGAGGCAGCCCAGTGAAGCAGCACCCTCTGAGCGAGGGAGTAAGGGCAGGGAGGTATGTCAGCTCATGGCATCCTGCCCACTACATCTCCTGGCACCTTGCTATAAAATGAGGCAGGGAAGAGCCTAGCCACAGAACTCCATCCTTACAGCAGATCCAGGCTTCCCAGATCCAGGTCTCATGTGTGCCACAACTAGATGCTAGTTGGGGAGGAATGGGCTGTAGTTTTTGAATTTGAGAAAGGCTCCAAGTCAGCAGTCGTACTGGCTACTGGGGACACTACAGGCAGTGCGGAGTCAACGGGAGGCTCTCGGAAGCCTTGGGACTGACAAGGCAACAGTCAGGAAGAAAACCAGGTAGAAATGTGTGCTCGTTGGAGCCTGTCTGCTTGCCGCACCCCAGAAGACCCCAGGTGTCCTGGAGTTGTCCCAACAGGGACAATACCAGGATGAATAATGACGCGGGCCTCGCTGCCGGAGTGGGATTATGTGAGCCTTAACAGCGTACTCTGCAGCTCTCTGTCTCCACAAATAGCTGTGATGCCTTCCGGTTGGGGAAGAAAAACGGATTCCCAGGGCCTGCTCCAATTCCTGCCGTCTTTGCTGTACCTGCAAGAGAAGCCAGAATCACAGCATTAACATACTTGGATGGTGCAGCACCACAGCATCCGGGTAACACAGGACCCAGCTGGAAAAAGGTGAACTCAAACTGGGACCAAGATGCATCAGCAGTGTCTACAAGTGAAGCTTAGCACTGCCACTTTCCGCCATCAGCAAGGAGTGACAGGTACTCTGAGCCACTGGGTATGGAGAGGGACCCCTGCTCAGGGACGCTCACCTTGGAGTAGAAGTATCTGCACACGGCTTCCTGAGCCCACGGCTGGAAGTAGAACTCAGCTCTACGCTCCTCTTCAGGATTCCCAACAACATCAGTCATTGTCTGGAGAGCACAAAGGACAAAATAGTTCAGGGAGTGCAAAAGCTCTCTGGCTGTGCTGAGTAAACCCACACCCCCTCCCCTTTCCTCAAAAAATTTCATACGGTCAGGTCAGGTCCTTACACTTGACTCCAAGTCTTGCTTTCTGAGCAGCAAATTGCCTCTCTCTGTGGGAGTTGGTTATAACAAGGGAAGCGTGTGACTGGATCCACCTTCCACACAAGACAAAGCTTTTACCTTTAAATCCCGGCACTGGGACTGTAGCCAGTCATTGATGAAGCCCTGAGGATCTCGGGCAAAGCTCAGCATGAACTCACGCTGGGTCTTCAGCTGGTTAATCGTCTCTATTGTTTCATGAATCTGAAGGAGATAAGCACAGCAACTAAACTGCTGAATAGGGGAAAATGTCAGACAGAAACATCAAGAGACCCGACACATGAAGGCGAATTCTTATACTCCCTGGTTGACTTATATCTGTCAAATAGGATTTTCAATTCCCAGTTTCCTGCTCTAAATATTACCAATTTTCCCATCTCAGTGGGAAATTTGCTTTAAAACTACGCTTCCAGGTAAAGCCACCTATCAGGTGTAAGCATGTCCGACCCCACTCCAGCTTCCAAATGCACAACAGACCAAAGCTGAACTCCTGTCCTGTTCAGGGCTCACCTGCTCCAGAGCCACATTCCTACCCAGCAGTCAGGAGGGCAGACCTGAAGGAGCTTTTCCTACCTTGTTATCCAGAGCAGCAATTTCCTGTTGACTGGCTGTGGATAGCAGAAAGGAATTCATTTGAGTTTTCAAGGTATCATCCACCTCCACATCAATGTCATAGCAAGCTGTTTTCTTCTGGTCATTTGGGTCAACACTAGGGGCATCCACAAGAAAGAAGCCAAAGTAAGTGAGTAGCTCAAGAAAGCACCAAGTTGTAGCTCCTCTAGGATATGGACGCAGCATATGGACTGCCACGCAGGGACAAGCCACGCTAATGTAAGCTTCAGCTCTAACACCAAGCAGCAAAGCTCCACTGATGGCTTTGCAGCACAAGGACCAAGTGATTGCTCCAAGCAGATTTTGATCTACAAAAGTGTAATGCAAAGGACAGCATGAACGTGGGAGTGCCTTGTGGAAAAGAGGGATGTGGTAAACGAAAGAGGCGGCTGTTCTTGTACAAAGAAACAATGACAGGCAACACGGGAACCGCTGCTGAAAATCAGAACATATTACATCATCTTCCTGTGCCAGCCTCATCCATCCCTTCCATTCTTCTTCCCAGAAATATGAAGTCAAGTGGACCAGACTCACCTGATCACATGATTAATGATGATCGGTTCTGGGGGCATAAGCAACGCATGAAGTCTTTGTGGGATTTCAGAGAACTTCATCCGCTGAGATTCAAATATCTGTGACAGAAACAGAGGGCTAAGGAAAGGAATGGGAGCTCAGTGCCAGCGATCACTGGCTGCTGAGAAAGAAAAGCTGAAACAGTCGCTTGTTCCAGCCACGCTGTTACCTGCTGGAGGTATTTGTCACAGATGACATATTCCCGTTCATGGGGGTCCTGGAGCTTGTGGGTCTTGATATATTGCCACAATGCCTGGATGATCACTGGACGGGTCTGAGTGTGAATCCCCAAGAGACGAGCCAAGCGGGGATCCAATTTGAACTGGGGAGGCTGAAACAAAAAGCCCAGAAAGGTGAGATGGCCACAGACACAGCCGTACATGTCCAGCACTGTTATTCCCAACATCTTACCTGGTAATCCAGCATCAGAAGGACAGTACAGCGCACATTTACATCTCCCGGCCTTTTCACCTGGAAGCCATCTGTCTCCTGAGTTGTAGCAGTCCTGTGCCACTGGAACAGGAGAGAGCATTTAGAAGCACCCTCACACTTGGTTCCCTTTGCTCCTGCTGCTTGGCACCCAATAAGCTCGCCAGTAAATCCCACCCACCTAGAGAAATTCACCTTATTCCCACTTACAGCTTGAAACAAGAGTTAATACATTTGTTCAGACCCCCAGCAAGTCAGAGGAAAAGCTAAGATAAGAATTCAAGAGCTCCTGGCTCCCAGCCACTTATTCAAGCCTTAAGTATCCCCACCTCTCAAGTTACAAGTGATATACAAACCCTGTCTGCTGAAACACCAACCCATTTTTAGAGGTAACACAGCAAAAAGAAGCTCACCTCTACTAGGTGATTGTCAGGGCCATACAGGTCTTTATCAAGTTCAATGACCAGAGATTTAAAGAAGGATGAGAACTTTCTTTTCTGCTTGGTGGCATCATATTTGGACAAAGCAGACTGCAAGCAACACAGGAAGGAAAAGTGTTAGGACAGCAAGTCTCAGCACTCAAGCACAGCCACCGTGCACGACAGCGTTCCTTTAAGTCCTGAACACCTAAATTCAGCAACATGTGCTTGAAAATCAAGTTCTAAGTCAGAAAGTGAAAGACTGGAGTTAAAGATGAGCTTGCAGGAATTAAATCACTCAGCAATTACATACAATGCAAGTGCCCTGGTTCTCAGAGCCAGGGTACACAAATGCCACTGATCTGCTCTCACCATTAATTCTTATAGCTATAAGAACTTTGTATAACTCATGTCCTGCCATGGGGATACCCATCGGTCTCCAAGTTGGGCTCTCGGTCTCGTCACCATCAGACTCCTTGGAAAACAGAGATGAAGGAGGATATCAAGCCCCTAGCTATGCTCTCAGACTGGTTTCATTGCCAATTCCAGATCCATAAAGTCACCTCTGTGGTTGGGTATTTTACACTTACATCTTCCAGCAGCCGTCCTTCCACCCGAAGCTCCCAGGAGGCGACTGTTCCTTCACCATCCTCTGCATCCGACTTGGCTGGATTGAAGGTATTGGAGATAAAAATACGTAGCTTTCGTTTTTGCTAGGAGAAAAAGCATCAGCTCAGTATCAATTCTGAAATAAAGGGCTGACTTATCTTGCTTATGTTTTACTAAAACTAAGCTTAATGTTTTTAGCTGCCTCATATTCCCACTCTCCTGCGGCAGACACAAGGAAAGAGGCATTTCTGGTTCCACTCCTTGGTTATGTCTGGAGCATTAAGATTCCTAATATGCCACGCTTACAGGGACACGACTCAAGCTTCAGTGCCCTCCTGCTGTCTTAACTAAAGTAAGAGCCTCCAAACCTTGCTTAGGATAACCATGAACGCAGCCCTCCCCTACCTTAATGGGTCGCTTCAAAGCCTCCTGGATATCCAAGCGTTTCCTCATGATCGTCTGGTCCAATTTCCTTTCAAAGGCCAGCAAGTCCATATAGGCCTGAGACTCGGGTACAAGTTCACGGATCTACAGCCAATCAAGAATGCAAATCACCGTCAGCTCGCCTGCACTTCTCCAGTCTACTTCGTATCAACACAGGCTGCAACTGCATGTGCCACTCACCCTCTGAGGTAGAATTTTGTCAGCCATCTTCTTCTTTTTAGCGCTGTTAAGGAAGGAGATGCACACACAGGCATTAAAATGGCAACCAATTTGTGCAAATTAACTGTAGGCATTCACGAAGGGAGCAAGACGACGGCTTATTCTCTGGTTTAGTACTGCGGCATTAGTAGTGCTCTCAGCCTGGATGCCAGTCTCGGGCCCAGGTTCTCATTTTCAGAGGCACTTATCGTTACCGTCAGCGTACGCAGAGTCAAACTCTTTATTCCCCACAGCCCCTGCCAGGCCTCCAGCGCTGCAGAGCTGACGAACCCTGCAGCAGTGTGACTGATTACCTGAACATTTCACATCCCCTACGAGAGCTTAGAAAGCTGGGTTACATCAAGTTGGAAAGGGCGTACTGACATAATGCCTAATCAAAGTGACTCTCTAGCCTCAATTAGCTTTAGATTGACTTTTCTAGGAGATGCATTTTAAATCAAGGGATGAATTACCAGTGTTACTGGGGAATCACATTATACTGCCAGAAACGTTACATAAACTTGCTCTTGTCTAGCAGCTGCACGTTAGTCTTTTACCTGCTGGAAGCTCCCCTCTCCAGAGGAGCTGCGCAAGAAGGCTGACGTCCCTTTCAGCCACCCACCAAAAAGAAGCTGTGAGAAGCCCAAGCGCAGCACGAAGGCAGAGTGCCCCGCACACAG